AGCTTTGGGGGGATTAAGACATCAAATGAAGCACTGTCAGAAGAAGCCCACACAGGTGATCTAATCAGCCCACCTCCTAAGACATGGTAAACGCAAATCAGAGTCCTCCCAGAGCAGGCAGAACACTGGGCAGTTCTTGAGCTCCCCTCTATCACCAGCGACTGGTTATACTGTTGTCCAAACTTGATCTTGAGGTTTCTTTGTGAATTCCAGACTTGGACTACCAGACCATGTGCCCCTTCCACAGGCAAGGATGAACAGGCAAATGCCCTGATGGTTGTTCTTTGACCTTAGATGCAGTTTCGTTCCTTCCACTGGGACTGGGACTGGAGTGTGGTAGTGACATACTAAGGAAGCAACCCAACCGAACACATAAAATAATATGTGTGCTACCACAGATCCCCAAACCAGTGGGAAGTGGGGAGCTAAGGAGACACTAAAGGGAAGAGGCAAGAGTAGAGATAGGAGAAATGGGGAAGGAGAAGGAGAGAGAGGGAGTGTCAAAGCCTTCAGTGAGGTTTAGGATGGTGTCTAGGCAGGTTTTGTTTTTTGTGTTTGTTTTTGTTTGTTTGTTTTTTAGGATAGTGCCATTGGAGGTTCAGAACAAATAGGCATTTGTTCAGAACAAATTCAGCACCCTACAGGAGTTTCCCAGCATGTCCATTGTCACTGCTTAAAGACACAGGCTGATTTATTACATAGGGAGGTGCTTAGTCTCAACTGCAACTTGCTATGTTTTATTGATACTCATAGAAAACCCAAGGCCTCACTCATACCTTTTTCTCAGGTGTCCATAGAATTCCATCTACCATATCAACCTAGTCACCTAATTTAACCAAATCCTCTACCTACCTAACACCTATCCATCAGTCTATCTATTTACCCATCTATCAGTCTAACAACTTTTCATATTGTATACTAGGCTAAACACTGAATTCCAATCAGTCTAACAACTTTTCATATTGTATACTAGGCTAAACACTGAATTCCAATCAGTCTAACAACTTTTCATATTGTATACTAGGCTAAACACTGAATTCCAAGAGGCATTCTTGCGCCTTCACGATTTCAACTATAGACCAATTTGAACAATTCAGTGTTAAGCCACTTCATTGAAGACATAAGGCAAAGTACTGAGTGACAGAAAAGACCATTCTCAGGGGCATAACCTGGTAGTAGGAGGTAGGCATTATGGAAGGGGACACAATATAGATAGACTCTAAGACAAAATATTTTCAACCTCCCTAATGCTGTGATCCCTTAATACAGTTCCTTATGTTGTGGTGAGGAACCCAACCACAAAATTATTTTCATTGCCACTTCTTAACTGTAATTTTGCTACTGTAATGAACCATTATGTAAATATCTGATTGCAGGATAGCTGTGATATGCAACCCCTGTGAAAGGGTCATTTGATCCCCAAAGGGGTCATGACCCACAGGTTGAGAACCACTGCTCTAAGGGTTATACAGCTAAGAATGCTGTCCATGTGGGAAGGGACGTAACACCAAGGCCTTGTGGACAAGAAAATGAATGTAGGACAGTGAGCCTAGAGCCTGGGGTGTGGGAGGCAGGATGAAGAGAAAGCCCTGTGAGGCCAAATGGTTTGGGATTTTCTTTGGAATCCTTTGGAGAAAACCAAGAAGACAATACAAAACAATTTTGTAGACAGTGAGCAGTGGTATTGGGGACCAATCAGCAAGCAAACTTAAGTTTCCCGGACAACAAAGGGATATAGGGACTGTGCTGGTCATGGCTTGGGGTCAATGGATTTGAGAAGTGTTGAAAATATAGAGCCAGTTGTTGTTGGTGTTGTGGAGTGTGGGCTGCTTCTATGGCTCTTATTGACAGCCAATAAGAAGGCCGTGCACATTGGAAATGAGGATATGAGGTCTGAGATAGAGAATAATGGAGAGGCATACTTCTTTACTATCAGCATCTCCCAGGTTCTCTTTCTTATTGAGGACCTACTTAGGACTCCCAATCCACCCCCAGAGAAAAGGAAGAGCCAGATTGGACAGAAACTGGGAAGGTGGTGTCCTTGGCTCCAGGGCTATTGTTTTGGGCTTGATGGAGATCAGTACTCACCTTCTACCTCCTAGAGAATCTAGGTTCCTAAAGGCAGGTCACTTCTTAATATTTATAACATTGATTCAGCATCTTTGGATTTGGGTGGCAACATGGGCTAGCATTGATTCTTGCACAACCTTCTCCTGGTCTACATCTGTGACTGTTCAGTCCAAGACCAATTCTTCCATTAATTCAGCACCCTACAGGAGTTTCCCAGCATGTCCATTGTCACTGCTTAAAGACACAGGCTGATTTATTACATAGGGAGGTGCTTAACTGCAACTTGATATGTTTTATTGATACTCATAGAAAACTTGCCCTTTTCTGGATGGAGACAGAAGAGGAGGGGATTGAGAGTGGCAGGAGGAATGGGGATGAGGGAGTGGAAGGGGAGGATGGGGGGTAAAAATAAATATATGAAAAAAAAAAGACACAGACTGAATGAGTAGCTGACAGTTGGTTAACTATTCTGGCCCATAGATTTTTGCCTATATTTTTTTAGGTGACATTTTTTTTGGTCTTCCACAAAGGAACTCCCAACTCTACTTAGCCATGTGTTAATATCTTAAAAAGGACAGTCATCTAGGAGGAAGTGTGATTTGCTTGTTTACCCGTTAGCATGGAAAGATATTTCTGTAACACACACTATGAAAAAGTCCAAGATACCACTTCCTGATCCCCAGTATTCTGACTGGCTCAGCCTCAGTTCTTACATCTCTCTTTTGTGAATAGAGATAGGATCGGGCCACAATAAAATCCTGCCTTGTTCTCCCTTCTAAAATAAGGGAGAAAGCTAGAAAAGAGCAGCATGGAGTGTCCAGGGCTCACACAGTAAGTGTGACCACATACTTCACAAAGCCTCTCTCTGACGTACATATATGAATTTGTTCACACAAAGTGGAAAGGAATTCTCCTGATTATTCACATCTCAGTTTTACTAGCTCCTCGCCTCTCCTCCTCATCCTTTTAAGACAGGGTCTCATGGAGCCCAGATTCCCTCAAAACCTATCCTCTACCTCCAAAGTGCTGGGATTTCAGGTGTGCACTACCACAGGCGGCCATTCCCTTTGGTTGAGGATACCTGCTGGGCTTTGTTTCTCTGATCTACTGAGGAGGTGGTAGAAGTCACAGGGAGCCCAGGGTATGCCTGAGAGCTCAGGAAGAAGGAGCAGTTTGCAGTCCTTGGATGGGATCTGGCTGCCATTTCTCAAGTGCTTATAATAGGTTGACTGAAAACCTTGAGGAACTTTGTGGTACCTCACATGCTAAATTTCCCCATGGATACTGACTGGCCAAAAAGCAGATTTATCAAGCTTCTATAAGGACTTATCCTTAAATGACAGGAATCAGCAGCTCAAAGTCCAAAAGTACCCTCTTTGTCTGGTCCTTAGATAAGTCATTTTCACTATTCTAGAGCTATCCCAAGCCTGGTGGGTGCTCAGAGCCTTGGTCTCAAGTTATCTGTTTCTGTTCTGCAGTCATGCTGAGTGCTCTGAACTTTCCTTCTGAATTGATTTTAAAAGGGTTTTCACATCATGCTGGGAATGGAATGTTCTGGTCTCTAATCTGGGGACAGTTCAGTCTCATTTGATAGCAGATGAGTTGCTTGGTGGTCATTCAGGCACCTATCTGGCTTCTCTCTCTGTTTTTTCTGCAAGGTTTAGAAACAGACTGCATTCCTCTCAGAAGT